GTCCAAATCAAGGTTACCGTACCGCTCCTGTAACAGACAGGGGGTTACATATTTACTGTATCAACGCTATTTTTATAAAGGCGTTCACCATAAAGGGCGAGACGTGTAACGGCCACCGTACCATTAACGTACAATTACAGGGAACTGCTGTCTCCCTTACGGTGAACTTGTCCCGTTTGTTGTCAGAGGTTAACGGATATAAATATAAAAGTCCCGCTCCTCAGAAGGACTTTGTGTCCTCTGCTTGTTGATACTGTCGGTTGTTTTCACTCAGCGAGCTGCGCAGGTCAGGATCCTCCAAAAAAAATTACAAAACAGAAGGAAAAAGAAACTGGCTGGGAATACTTCCCCCAGATCTGGGTTATCGCTTGAAACTGGCGGAGGTTGTCCGCTTCACCTATACCCCGTGGTCCAGGTGAGGGTGAGTGATCGTCTCATCTGGGAGCGGTCAACCCGATTCGGCTGCATTCGGGAGCAGTTCGGAAATTCCCGTTACAGCCTTAGGGTATAAAAATACAACTAGAAGGATATCAGCAGGTTAAGTACTTAAGTTAATGTCTCTCAAATAATTGTAAAAAATTGTCTGTGTACTAAAAATAAAAGCACCTATTATACTATCAACAGCTGCGGCAAGCACGCTTACTGTACATCTTAACCTTTTTCTTAATCAATATGTGACATTTAAAGCTACTTCAAACAATGTTTGGCGTTTTAGAATATGTGTAAATTTACACAAAATCTAGCTCATTAAATACGGTGCGTTTTTTCCAAACTTAAAACTTAGATACATTTAGAGAAAATCGCTTCAAAAAGTATAGTCTGTGTTGAAAATCATTAATACCGACACCATTTTTGATCCCTCTATATACTGACTCTTTAAGGAAGTCAAAAGAAGTCACTGTACAAACATTAATGTTGGAATTTTCATTAAAACGTGAGTAAATAAAATGTGGTTTTTTTTAAATAGGTAAAACAACTGTGAAATAACAAGTAATTAAAATCAAAACAAACAACCCATATCTGCTATCATCTAAC